AAGTGGTGCCCAGTGACAGGACGAGAGGCAACGGGCACAAACTGAAACACAGGCAGTTCCATCTGAACATGAGGAAAAACTTCTTCACTGTGAGGGTGACAGAGCATTGGAGCAGGTTGCCCAGAGAGGTTGTGGAGCCTCCTTCTCTGGAGATATTCAGAGCGTGCCTGGACGTGATCCTGTGCAACGTGCTCTAGAGGACCCTGCTTGAGCAAGGGGGTTGGACTAGATGATCTCCAGAGGTCCCTTCCAACCTCAACCATTCTGTGACTCTGATTCTGTGATTCCTACCACTCCTGAGCTTCACGTTGCCTTAGAGCCACCTTAGCCTGCACTGGACAGAGGATTTGTTCAATCCAGCTCAAGTCACCTCCAGAGGGGTGAGGTGAAACTAGGCAACAGGCTCCTAGCTAGATGCCCCTTCTCAGGCGTACACACACCTAAATTACAAGATGATCCTACCAACTTCCCTAGAATGATTGGTAAGCTCCACATCCCTTTCTAAGGAGAACTGAAAGACTTGGAAGTGCTGTATGTTCCTTTAGGATGGTTTCAGATTCATTTAAAAACTACACTGAACTTGGCTTCTCTTTGGGAAAATTTTTAGGCGCACAACAGGAGAGGGGAATAAATGGATACACAGTTCAACAAAAAACAGATCGAAATTTATACTTTATTTTCTCTGTTTATTCTACTAGACTTATTCTTTAACAGTCATAACTGGATAATTCAATCCCTCCAGACTCTAGTATTAATTTTCCTGCGGTATCTAATACTTTCAAAGTCACTTATGTTTAAACTACCATATCTTTAGTCAGATGCACAGTACTTCAAATAGCAGTACAATTTAAATTGTTAGAGAGCTATGCAGTAGGAAAGCTTAAAACCACTGAAATTGTGGTTTTCCACAGTAACATGCAGCTTCATCAAGTTCTCATGGCCAGTCTACACACAACTTAGTGGCACTATGCTATAGCAGTATAATTCACTGGTTTATGGTGTATTTTAGACATTTTAAAATACTTTGCAATCATTTTTACATGGGAAAGTGTCACTTTCCCATGTAATATATTACACAGTAAAAATCCCCTTGGGAGGATAAAGTGGAATTATGCAAGCATATCTAGACTTCCATTTAAATTCAGATCTTACATTATCCCATTGTAGGTTTTTTCTTTTGGAAAATGGGGAGAGGGAAGGGAAGAAGGAGAAGGGAGAGAAGAAAAATAGTGTCAAGAGTTGAAGAAATCTCAGATTTGCCATTGTCACATCTTCCAAAAAGTACACCCTTCTAACACAGGCTGAGGATTAAATATCTAAATGTAAAAAAATCAAAATAAGAATAGACTATATTTAATGCAGCAATGAACAAACTACCTAGGCCTAACAGTAGGATACCACACACGAATTCTGTATTACTTTCTAACATCAGCACTAAAGTTCTACTCTAATTCATAAAGACACACATGTACAACTTTTACCGTTACAGTCGTCCCTTGAAGTCAATGGAACTTAAATTATGTATCGGTTTAACCACTTTGTTAGACTTAAAATTAACACATTAAGTAGCAGATTTCAGAAAAATCCAAATCTTAACAGAGATGGCATTATACATTTAATTCAAGCCTCTAGATACCCAAATCGATATGGTTAAAACATTACCTGGGTCATTATGCGAGTGAGGCACAACAAAAACTTGAAGCGGTTCACTGTCCCATTCATTTTCATTGTATGTGATATCAAATCCTTGTTTCCAAACACCACCATCTGGATTATCGAAAGGAAGAATGTCATAGACATCCAACATCTAAAAAGGGTAAAGAGAATATACAACATAAATTCACACAAAAAGAAGTCTGCCATTAAAATCAGAGGTTTTCATCCTCCAGTAATAATACTGGATCAGCTTGCTCATTACACAGGGAGAGATTAATTGTCAAATGAGTAGAAAGTTGACAAATGAAAGCAAGTTTCACGTCACACTAGGACAACCAAAGCACTAGCAGGTAGAGAGAAGCATTTGACAGGCTCCATTCTGAGGAAATGATAGGCTAAAAATGATTAAAGAGTCAGAAAGAAACCTGAAAGAAGTGACCAAAAGGATGACAGCTCATAATGGCATTGGAAGACTGGAGGTTATGCAGGGAGAGCATCACACAAAATAGGAGAATATACTAACTTGGGGAATGCAGAAAATGAAGAGGGCAAATTAAACAAGTAAGATAAGAGGACAACATGAGACAGATTGAGGCAAGTCAAACTGACAGAAAGGAACTGAAAGAAACTGTCAAAGAAAAAAGTTCAGAACTACAACCAACTGCTGTGATAAAGCTCCTCTTATAGCTACTGCTGCCCAGTATATTATTTATTCAAGGAAAGTTATAGTTCATTTCTGCGTGCAAATAATAAGCTTACAGGTAAATAAAATAACTCTGGAGTAACACTAACAAGCGCCTTTAAAGTTTATATACCAACAGATAGCTTCAAAGAGATTCTTCTAATGTAAATTTAGAACAAAATTACCATATCCAGCTTTCGTTTTTGGTAAGGCTTTGCCTTCTGTGCTAAAAAAAATACTCAATTTCCTGAACAAAAATTATGAACTGGGCAAGCTTTTTACTTTCTAGACAATTTTAAAAACATAGTCCTCTTGCAAACTGAAAATTTACTTCCTATTTTTGAATCATCTGAACACATTTAAGAGCAACAATTTCACTTTATGTGCATTTTCCTCAAACTAAAACTACCAGATAAAGACAAATCAGAAAGGTAGTTTAAAATCTGAACAGAAGAAGTGGCTATCACTTCACTGTATGCATAAGCGTACAGCATACAGACAACTATTTCTAAAACAACAGTGAAGTTCTGGAAATAACTTTCCAAAAAGACCAGCAAAGTTTAAAACAACCCACAGAAGTAACTAGCCTTAAACATCCATCAGCTTCCAAGTAATTTTACAATATGGTCATCTGTGATAATAGAGGACTGTACTTTCCAATTTTAGAATCAACTTTTATCTCAGAATTAAGTTGTAGAAAGGAAGATCACTGCAACTCTTCCAGTACGTTATCTCCTATATAATCCCTAGTGCTTGAAGGTGTTTGCGGAAAAGTGTTAGACATTAGACTTTTTGCCCAACACAGGGTATGTTCATATCAGGCCCTGATGCATACATAAAGCATTATTATAAACACAGAAAACACACAGAAGGTTCCTCCAGAGCAGACTTCTCTGAGGAAGAGGAAAGAATGAGTGGAAGAGAACCACATCTAATAGTACAGAGTAAAGAAAGCAAGCAGAACAAAGGAGGAAATAGAGAAAGGAGGAAAAGCAGTTTTCTTCTTTGGGACTAACAAATAACCTTAAAGATTGAACTTAGTCATGAATCCTCAAAGCAGCACAGAATTTCACCTATTAATTAAGGACTACTTTTCATAGAAGAGATGCAAGCACTGGAAATGTGAGATCCAATAAAAGCTATGAAAAAAAATGTAATAGTATCAGACATTTGTCATGCCAAGATGAAAATAATATTGCTATAAATCAGTCCCAACAACAGTAAGGTAAGTTTACCCAGGAGACTAGACAGAACATTTAAAAATTCCCACAAAGTTAAATATTTATTTTGATGTTCTTCATTGCCAACCACCTAAAGCACAAAAAGCGATCTGTGTACATTCATTTTAGGTCCTTCATTGGAAGCTGATATCTTCTAAAATACAATGTTTGAGACTGTCAACATAAACAGGTTGCTTAATTATGCATGGCTAATCATGCTTAGCACAGCCAACAGGTACAAGATTTTCAATTTGCTGAGCAAAGTTTGGGGGAAAAAAAAAAAAAAAAGAGGAAAACAACCATAGCAATGTCCTGGACAGTATCTGTTGAAACTAACGTAAAGTGTATTTCAAAGTAACAATATATATTAGATAAATAGGACAAAGGATCTTTGTTACTCAAGTTGGAGCCTATTCTTTTTTGACTTCCACAGCCCTGCAGCTGCCATTTAAGGTACTGGAAGCAAGACAAGAGAGCTCTTTGCTGAAGAGGTCAATATATCAGAGCATTCAGTAACTACTTTAGATACTAAATTTAAGAAGTAAAGGAGATAAAGCTTGCATAAATGACATCAGAACATTCCTCCTCTCACTAAGAGAGCAAGAACAACTGTGGATTTACAACATGTCTCATCTATAAATTGGCATGTCAGCAAGGAGGACAGTATGGCCCAAGCACAATAAATCTACATGTTGCTAGGACAAAAGAATTTTCAGTTTCTAAAAGCTGTGGATATTGTGTTTTTGTGCCATAAGCACAAGGTGCATATAAACCACCAATTCAAAAAAATTATCATCATTTACATTGCATGGTATGTTTTCACATGATCATATCGTCACACAACAATAGAGCAGTAACTATAAAAAGGTCAAAACCTTGAGGCTTAACATACTTGCTCTGTTATTAAGTAGTTTCTTCCACATGCCAGCACTGAAAGCAGTGATTAGTTACCCTGACACAACCATCAGCCAGTTCCTTTAAGTAGAAAAATTGAGGCTTTAACTTTATCCAGCTGTGAAGCGTTTTCTACATTTTCTCTTTTTGTGCCTTGGGCTTTCAGATCATGAGCTTTTTAGAAATGTTTTTATTCAGTATTCTCGAAACACAGATTAGACCCATGTATTTCTCATCTGTTTTATTTGCACAGTTGGGGTGCATTGCTGATCCCAACTTTTTTCCCTAATCATTTCATTCAGATTAGCTGGCAAAAGCATCAATTTCAAAAGTTGCCTTCTCATACACTCAAGTCATCTGAGGTTTAAAAAAAAAAAAAAAAAAGCAATCAGACTCCTGTAACTGATCCTATAACTCAAATTTTAAAAAGGACAGCACTTTTCATGAATGAGTTAGGAAAAGAAATTATTAGGCAAGCTTTTGGAACTGCCAGTGTTCACATGTTTGAAAAAGCAAGTCAGCTAGCCGTTGAATCTGAACTCCATCTTGGGAGAACATCTGACAGGAAGGCATCTACTTGGGAGATATGTAATTTAAATATTTAAGGCTCACAGTTTGTTTCCAAGAAGAAGAACGTACACGAAAATAATCGCGAGTGGGCGAAGACAAAGAAGAAGAAGTTATGGAGAAAAGGCAGTCTGAGGTGGTAGAATAGAAGAGGCAGCAGTACATGAAATAAGTATGCAGTGTTATGTACTTCCCAATCAACATGCACATTGATTGTTCATTAGGGTCCCCTCCAGAAATTCATGTCTTGACCTCTCTCTTCTCCCACCACTCCAGTATAGACTTGGATCTCCTGGTCTCCATTTCAGATAAAAAGCAGACCTATTCCCTGTTGTCTCTACATCTCAGAATCTATAAACTGACCTACCCATTTTAAGGTACACAACTTCTGTACTAACCCAGCTGTGCAAACATCTGAAAAAGCTTGTCTTGTTGTACAATCAGTAGAAAAATACTATTCTAAAGGCATAAGACAAATATATGCTTCTGGAACTGGAATAAGGAATTGTGCAGCAGGCACGTGCTTTCACTGCAAATTCCTATACCCTCATGTTTAAAGGGGCAAGAACAAGCACATCCACTGAGATCACAGAAACAATTCCCTCCTTCTGAGCAATTCTCTCAATAGATCCTCCCACAAGACGTTCTCTCACAGAAGAAAAAACCTCAAACGGACCACTCTACAAAGGTCTGAAACACCTTTCTATATAAAGGTTGTCTTCACTGAAGAATAACAATGAGGTTCAATGATATGGCATGAGACAACTGTAGTAACTCACTACTTCCAAAAGAGGAGAAAGGTACTGTTTCACACCAGTTCTGCCTCTTACCTGGTACTAGGTCATGTCTCCTTGAGACATGTCTGTGAGTTAGTTTACATCACTAATTCACACACACACACGTTTTCAATCCATGAAAAAAAAAAAAAAAAAAACAACTTTCTACTACGTTAGTAAACTGAATTAGCTTATGGAACAATCTGATAAATGCTAGAGCTGAAGCTGAATCGAGTATACATTGAGTGGAAGAGGAAACTGGAACTAGGATGACAATGTGTATAAGTGACATGCAGCTCCTGTCACTCAGAAAGCTATTGCAGTAACAGATAACCAACAATTGAGGGCATTAGACATAATTGGAGCTGTTTCTCACGTGCTACTCTCTTCTAAAATGGTTTAAAATGGATAAAGAAAGAAGAATGAGCTGTTAATGACAGCAGGGCTTAGATGTTGCAGACAGTGAAGAAGAGGAAAACTGACTTTGCTGCAACTTTAAGCATTTGAGATTTTTTTAAAAAAGCAGGAAGTTTTAATACACCAGTTCCTCTGATTTCTTGAGCTGACCATATTCCCCAGACATTTCAACTTAAACATATTTCCATTAAAAATAATATAACAGAAAAGCACTCAGCAGTTTTCTAACATTCTCTCCAGTAACTCAGTGGAAAACTATGTTAGAATATAGTGGTACATCTGAAAATAAACTTCCTTCAAAAGACACTTCGCTTCCGTAAAAACAGCCTACAGGAATCAGTTAAGACAAACACATAGGAGTTTAAATTTTCTGATGGTAGCTGATTTCCTTTAAACCAGGAAATCTGAGAAAAAAACACAAACATCTGAAAACCTAAAAACATTAAGTCCTTTATCTTAAGATACAAAGAAAAGGAGTAATGTTACATTATAATACAGGTCATTGTAATCCTAATGCCAATTGTAGCAATGCTCCAATTGGGCTTATAATGTATGTACACTAAAATATCTATGACCTGTACCAGATCATCTTGTC